CCATCCATCCATCCATCCACCCACTCATCCACCCATCCATCCATCCATCCATCCATCTACCCACTCATCCATCCATCCATCCATCTACCCACTCATCCATCCATCCATCCATCCATCCACTCACCTGTCCATCCTTCTACTCACTTATCCATCAATTCATCCATCTATCTACCCACTTATCCATCTATCCATCCACTTATCTGTCCATCATCTATCATCTACCCACCTATCCATCCATTCATTTACCTATCCATCCATCTACCAATATACCTATCCACTCACATCTCCATCCATCCACCCATCCATCCACTCACCCACCCATGCACTTATCCACCCATCATTCCATCCATCAGTCTATCCATCCACCCAAATACTCACCTATCCATCCATCCATCCATCCATCCATCCATCCATCCATCCATCCATCCATCCATCCATTCATCCCTCCATCCAGGCATCAACCCACCCACCTGTCCATCCATCCAGCTACCCACCCATCCACCACCTATCCACCCATCTACCACCTATCCACCCATTGATCTATTCATCCATTCATCCACATAACTATCCTTCCATCCATCCATCCACCCACTTATCTATCCATCCACCCACCAAACCGTCCACCCATCTTTCTTTTTTTTAATTATTATTATTTTTAGTCGTTTTATTAGGGACTCATACAACTCATCACAATCCATGCATACATCAGTTGTGTAAAGCACATTTATACATTCATTGCCCTCATCATTTTCAAAACATTTTCTCTCCACTTAAGCCCCTGGCATCAGCTCCTCATATTTTCCCCTCCCTCCCCGCTCCTCCCTGCCTCTTGAGCCCTTGATCATTTATAAATTATTATTTTGTCCTATCTTGCCCTGTCCGACGTCTCCCTTCACCCACTTTTCTGTTGTCCGTCCCCCAGGGAGGAGATCACATGTAGATCCTTGTCATCGGTTCCCCCACCCATCTTTCTATCTTTCAATCTAGCTATCATCTATGCATTCATCCACTCACCTGTCCATCTAGCTACCATCCACCCATCTTTCTTTCTATCATCCCTCCACCTGTTCAGTCACTCACTCATTCATTCATTCCACACACATTTCCCGAGTACTGAACTGTTCTCAGTGGACTCGGAGACAGCGTGAACAAGACAGGCAGACTCCCTGCCCTCACCGAGGGATGCTGTCCTCACCGAGGGATGCTGTCCTCAGCCAGAGTCTGTCCGCTATCAAGTAGTCAGTGCACAGAAGAGGAGACGGGTTCTCCAGAGAACTGAAACACTGCCCAGGAGAAGGGAGGGGGCTGGCAGGAGGGAGGAAGTTGGAGTGACCGCAACTGATCAGAAACCTAAATGCCAGAAGGATCCAGGCCATCGATGGACAGGGTGGGAGGGGTCAGATCGGCGGATCTTGTAGACTGTGGAAAAGACGCGGGCTTGAGTTTGGGGCACCCTGGGGAGCAAGTGGGGTTTTCTGAGAAGTGAAGGAGTGGAGCCCATTCAGGCTACCCACAACCAGTTTCGCTGACTTCCCCAGACCTGTGGGGTTGGGGGTCCCTCTTGTCCCAGTTCTCCAGTGGGAATGCAGAGGCACCAGGAGTTTCCCTGGAGTGAGTGGGAGGATGCTGAGCACTGAGCCTGGGTCCCATCGACTGATGATGTTGTTCCCTAGAGGCAGGTGTCTCTGATGGAGACCCGTGCTGGGCAGAGTATTTGTCAGGCCAGAGACCTTGCTCACTATCCGAGTTCGCTTCTGGGTCCCTGCCCCTGCGTAGCCAGTCCCCCACAGCAGTCCCACCTGGCCGGGACCCCAAGCACCACCAGCCCATATCACAGACGAGACCATTGAGGCCCACAGAAGACAAGCACTATGCCCACTGGGGTCCCATCACCTACGAGTTGAGAAGACGTTCAGATCTCCCGGCCCCAGTGTTTCCCTCTGGACACTCTAGGGGCTCACCTTATCGGCCAGTCCTGATGGCTCAGTGAACACGGTCAAGGAGTAGGGCCAGGCACTGCTGCGGCGGGGCAGCCTGGCCCGCCCCCTCGCCCCATGCACAAGGGAGCAAAATGCTGCCTGCGACCGCCTGGGGATGGCACTGTAGGCGACCCATAGGGCTTTCATTTGGATCGCCAGGCTTTTCTTCCTAGTCAGCCAGCTCCGCGGAAACCCACTCAGTACCCAGGCAAACACACAGGCCTCCATGCAGCTGGGGCACTGCATCTATCCTGTGAAGTGTATTGGCTGGGAATCGAACCTGGGTCTCCCTGCCCGGCAGGTGAGAATCCTACCACTGAGCCATCAAGACCCCTAGCTGGAAAGCAACAAAGTCCCTGTGCAGCATGTTTTGAAGGATGGGGGGTTAGGAGTTGGGTGGGTTTTGAAGGATCAAGTGGGTTCTAGGAGGTGGGGACGGAGGGGGGAGTGAAAGCCAGGCCAGGGGGAGGGTACAGCCCCAGAGAAGGTGCCTGTCAGACAGCTGAGCTGGCAGTGCCCCTCCTTGTCCTTGGAGCCCTTCTAATGCGTCCATTTGTGTTTGGCTGAGGGTTGTATCTGTTTTTAGCCCTGCTGCCAGCACCCCCCCCAAACCCCCCCCCTCCGCTGGCTTTCTTGTTTGCTGTGGTCGAATAATGTTCCCGGACTTCCTGAGCTGTTTGTTTGAAGCGGCCCAGTATTGATTTAATCCTGCCCGCAGAAACCTGCCCCCTCCCTACCGGCCCCCTGCTCCTCAGTGGAGGGGTAGGATCTGAACAAATGCTGGGGAGGCCCTGGCAGGGCAGGTGGGGTTAGGGTTGAAGATTTGTGGGGGGGGCATGCAGAAAGCAAGGTCCACCAGGGCTTTGGCTTGCAGGTTTGGAGGGGGCTTTAAGGCCCCCCTCCAAGGGAGCCCTAGTGGTACAGGGGTTGAAGCAAGCATGACCGCCCTCCATAACCTTGGCAGCTCTTCCACAAAGATGTACAGCTTCAGAACCCCTCTGGGCAAGTCGACTCTGCCCTGCAGGGTCATGATGCGTCAGAACCCCAACTCACTGGCAGTGGGGTTTGGGTTTTTGGTAAGCCCCCCCC